GACCTTCAATTTCTTGTGAAATGATGAACAATTTTCGGATGCGATCGACAATTTTAAATATGATTTTAAACGAGAGTACATATAATTGTTATGTAATATTGAATTTTGCATCCAAGATAATTTTGTAGAAATTAGGAAAGGGGTTAAACTGTAGCAATTAGAACCTTCGAGGGATTTTCAGTCAATCATGCAAACCTTTGGGAGATTTCAGTAATTCACCCTTTAATCTAATCATCCTTACATGTTACGCAACCAAAAAGACAGAGACTCTAAACATAGCACTTCATATTCTCTTCCCATTTCTATTATCATCGAATCTTCCCATCAGCAACAAATCCAAAATGCAAGCTTTCTCGTTATACGCTCATCTATATACAATTTAAGCAAAACCCAGAAAAAAAATTCTAACTGTCACCGACATTAATCCATGGAATAAGCAACTTCGAGTGAAGCCCTAAACCTGAGAGCGGAGAAAGAGAGTAAAGAACGAAGTTTTAGGGCGCGAGTAGTTAGTTACCAGGAGCTGAGCGGAATCGAAGAGGCCGTTGTCGATCAGAAGGCTCATCTGATCCTTTGGAACCTCCATTGAATTTGAAGAGACTACAGAGAGAGAGAGAGAGAGAGAGAGTTTTTAGAGAAAGAAGCCCTCCAAAATTTTATTTTCAAAAAATTTTGATGCAAGAAAGGGGGAGAGAATATTTATGTAGCCATTGCTGGTCACTGATCAGAGCTTATGCTGCGATTCCAGAGCACCGATTCGTTCATGGGCCTAGTTGGGTGGAAAAGGCCCAATGTATTGGGCTTGGGTTGGAGTTTGGGTGGAGTAGTTTTTAGTACAGTCAATTGCATGAATGATTCTGTAATTAAAAAAAAATTATATGAATAATTAGGACCAGTTTTTGAAATTGACTCACTTCAATATTTATTCACAGAAGTTGATTTACTTGCGGTTTTATTTATTAAAAATCGACCTGGTTTCTGTCATGTCTACTTTGGCGGCTGAAACTAGATTGATTTTTTTAAAAAAATTACATGTTACTAATCAGATGGGGTTGCAGGTTGCCAACCACATTTAATTAGTATACTATAGTTCAAAATAGTCGTGGTTGACAAGAAGGCAACCAATAGCTATTTTGAACTTAGTTAAAAAATAGACATGTTTGACAACCGTAGCTGTTTTAAACTTAACTAGATTTACTCATTGAACCTGGTTGCCAACTCTGGCTAGCTAGAAGATGTCATTTTCTAAAAATCAACCCAGTTTTCAGCCTGTGCTGCATATGTTGATGAACAAATATTAGAATGAGCCTATTTCAAAAAAAAATCTGGTTTGGTCATTATGAAAGCTAAGGATAAAATACTGAAAAGAAGTGATGCATAAAAGTGGGCAAATGAATAATTAATTATAGAGAAGATGATGAGTAGCACGGCTAATTACCTTGTGAATTGTAATGAGTGTTAGTTATTACAGTTGCATAGCCAGCATTCATGGGGCAATAGGGTGGATAACTAACAGTGGGAGCATAGGATTTCATCTCAAGAACAGCCAACATTAAGGGCAATATCAAAGCAATATTAAAATCGGGTCTCAAGAACAAGATAATCTAATGTTATTATAAAATTGGGTTGCTATGTTAAAACATTTCTTCCGAAAATGCCCTCCCACACATCCATCCATACATACATGAAACACTCAAATACTAGTTTTTTATAACCTCATCATTGACTACACGTCCATCCATTCATACATACATGTCATACATACATGATGACACATTTTATAATTAATTTTTCATAACCTCCATATTTGACCATCAAATTTTTATTTAACCACCCACTCATAACATTCATTCACTAACTCTTTACACTAAATATAACTTTATTCACACTAATGATGAAAAACATTACAACTAATCATCTCCCACCAAATCACTAATAATAACAATAAAATTTTATTAAAATCACCAACCAAAATTCCATTCATAACAAAAATTTAGATGGGGAAGAAAGAAGCCAAACCTACACATCTCACACCAACAAGAATCAAATCCATTTCTCTCACGAATGGAACTTGATGCTTGAGAGTATATCAACTTGCCCTTCCAAACCTATATAAGCATGTTCACTAACCCCATCCAGGCTCTCAAAGACGCTATCGATCACGTCAATTTCATAACTACTAATGTATTTCTTAGAAGCAAACTAAGCATGTCAATTAGGGGTGTTAACGGAGCGGATACGGCTCGGATATGGCACTTACCATATCCATATCCGCTTACCCATCTCGGATACGGATACGGATACGGATATACGTCGGTAAGAAAATTTTATATCCATATCCGTCAAAATCGGTTACGGTTACGGATATAGATGCGGATATATAAACGGATATGCATGCGGATACAAAAAGGATATGAGAAAACTAGATAGTATTCAGAAAAATATAGTCATGTGATACAAAAAGAGTTCGTTAATATGTTCATTATGATTGAAAAGCTAAGATTAGACATATTGATCATCAAAATTAACCATAAATCCATAATCTAAGAATCGAAACCATCGTAAGAGTATTACCAATATGTATTCGGATTTTTTCGGATATGGATATTTCACTACAAAACCATATCCGCAACCATATCCTATCGGTAATAGATTTGAGTAACCATATTCGTATCCTAACGGATACGGTTACGGATATTTCCTCGGATACGGATACGGTTTGGCACCCCTAATGTCAATGCATGTGATTTTTTTTAATTATGTTTAACCTTATTTTGGTTTGTATCTATAAAATAAGAATGAGGGTGAGCTTTGGCGCAACGGTAAGGTTGTTGCTTTGTGACATGGAGGTCATGGGTTCAAATCCTGAAAATAGCATCTTCACATGCGTGGGTAAGGCTGCATACATCCTCAGACCTCACAATGGTGGGAGCCTCGTACACTGGGCTACCCTTTTATCTATAAAATAAGAATATGAATATACTTATCATGCATTACCAAATATGAATGCATTATATATGCATGATTACATTACCAAATATGAATGCATTATATATGAATGATTAGTTCACTCATTCTGGTTTTGACTATTATTTTGAGAAATTTTATTATTTCCTCTTCAAATATGAATGCAAATATAAATGTCCATGCATCCTTGGTTTATATATTGTACTCAGTATAGATTGTACTCAGTATAGACGCTCCCAAGAAGTGTCACTTCCAGGTTTCAAACTCTGGCCAAGAGCCAAGAGCTTACTTAGGGGCCAGCTCGTCTATCAGTGGGCCATCAACTACCGTTAAGTAGTTCAAACTAAGAAAAAAAAAGGAATACAATTGGCAAAGGAGAAAGAACGAATATGTGTTTATGAAGAAATTTAATAGAAGAAAAATTTTAGCGTTGGTAAACCCTTCAAATTTGCATATCACTTATACTATAAGCTCAAGTTTAGTTCATCAAGTGTATCTCATCCTCTCATTATTTAATATTTGGCTTTTTAAATATATATATCATCCAAAAGTAGCATTTTACTTTAAATTGCTTAAAGTTATCACACTTTGTATCATTTTTATAAATAAAAAGTTAATAGATTTCTAAAACTCATGCCAAAGAAAATCCCTAACATGACTAAATGACCAAATACTAAACAAATCACTAAGCATTCTTCCCATCCAAAATCGGTTAAACTTGAAATTTGAATTTTTTTTTTTTAATTTGTAGAAACGTTATATATTTTAAATGTATTGTGATCCTTTAGTTTTACAAAAATCATGGAACGCCTTCCTTTTTCCTTCTTGAATACTTTGGATGACACGTTTGAGTCAAAAAAGACGACAAGTATGAGAACATGCAACGCACGTAAACTATACTAGTTTCATTAAATGTGTTTGCTCACACTTTCCTCTATGTGGCGCTGCAACTGAGCTACTTTATTAGCAATGAGTATTAGCTACTTTATTAGCGTAGTGCAGTGTGCCTTTTTGAGAAAAATACGCATTTAGCGCTCATAACGACACCACTAACAACCATAACTACTGCGTCTTTGGCGCACGTGGGAATCAAAGTGTGGGGGAGCGACGCGGCTTTGTGTGTGCTATAGATAGATTTCATAATTACCTTAAAGCATTGGTGGTTTTACACAAAAATGCCATCATTATTTTTATCAAAAAATTCAAAAGATTTTCTCTAAACTACCATGACTAATTTACATTAGTGTCTATTGACATGTGATATGTAGGTAACATATTTTGATATTTGAACAGACAACAACATACTTTACACAAATTCATGATAATATATTATAATATTTGACAGATTTAATTTTATGCTATTTTTCTCCCTTAGAAGTAGCTGATCATGGTTTTGTGCACAACTTACAAAAAGTCTCTAGTAGGTCTGTGTAATCTGTCCTCAAAAATTCTGTATCTAATATTGAATTTGAGCCTTGTCTTCCTTTCTTAATTGGACTTCGATAAACTTGAGAAGAAAAATTAGGAGATACATATACCACCACAATAGAGCAAGACAAGTTGAAGCTGGAGATGATAATGAGCACCATCAGCAGCCAAAAACTCACTCAAATCTATTGGTGGACATAACAAGAGACAAAAAAAAAAATACAGGCTATATTAGGGATCACAGATAGAAATAGTAAATTCCTGAAGCTAACTATTTGAGCTAATCACAAACCAAGGCAGCAGTAGCTTAGAACCCGAAAAAAAAAATTCAATGGTACACTCCTTTCTTCTGATTCCGCAAAAAGATAACAACAAGATATTACTCAGCATCAACAGAGAATTTAAACGGTACACATAATTTTGATTACAATGGCAGTAGAGTATTAGCCACTTTTCGCAGATTAGGCAAAGCGGAAGAATAACATACAACAAAGGAGAAACAAACACAAACCGCGAATATAAACAAATTTTTTAACACGTCTCCGTCTGCGTTACGTTTTCTAATGTTATAACACAACAGTAAGTAAAATCACAAGGCAATCACTCTTCTTCAGGTTCCTCCTCCTCCTGTAATAGATTTTCTCTATTGTCGTGGGCCCAGAATCCACGCACGTCGATTAGCATACTGGCAACAGTGCCGCCCTGCTTGCAGGCTAGAAGGTCAGCTAGGGTTATCTTGAGAGGGTCAACTGGTTTGACCATATCCCAGATTTCATCCCTCACGTCTTCAATGCACAGCTCATAATTTCCTCCCTCAATCCATTTCTGGTGTACATCCCTGAAGCACCAGAAGAAAAATTAGCCTGCACGTTGGGGTGAGATTTGTTACCATATAAAACTACAACCCTCGGCCCTCATTTCTGGTATAGTGGCAATGTACTTTGACATGGTACCTGAGCAAGCCAACTTCAACTCCCATCAGTCACAAACTCAAAGCGGACTAAAACCAATAATACCACACGAGTCTAGGTTTCGATCCATAAAAAGGTTGCTCAACCAGTGGAGCATGCTTAGAGTATAAAATTATAACCCTCAACCCGAAGAAGTTTCGGTGTAGTGGCACGGTTCTTTGACAAGATTATTTACTAAATAGGACATTTTGCAACGTTACGCTAAAGATTAATGAACTGTTTGTTTGAGAGGAAATAAAGCTACAAAAGCTTTATATTTCCAATGTTTGGCTAGCAGCATGGTAATTTGGAATGCTAAGTGATTTTAGAATTTGCAGTAGAAAAAATCTGCAGCAAATGTTGCAGCCAATTTAGTTGAGGTGAGATTATTCACTCAATCGACCATTATGTAACATTATGCTAAAGAATAAGAGGACACATGCTTCTAATGTAGCATAAGAAACTAATACTAGACTATGATACAAAAAAAATGGAGTTATCTTTAGAAAAGCTAAGGAAATTCCTAGGTACTTCCACTATATGAGAGACACAGCAGCAGGGAAGAAAGATCTAGAAGAAGGCATACACCTTCTGTCCTGCATCGCCTTCATCGAGTTCTACAATGATAAGGTAAAAGTTTTTGTCATTTATCTTAAAGACTAAAATATAAATCTTGATCATCCTCTTCATACTATCTGACCATCATCTAATCATTCAGTTCCATCAATTGGTAGCATACAATTTCACAGCAAGTAAGGAACTACAGACTGCCTAAACTGTCAATAATAAAGACTAAAATAACAACATTGATCATCCTCTTCATACTATCTGAACAACATCTAATGATTCAGTTCCATCAATTGGTAGCATACATTTCACAGCAAGTACGGAACTACAGACAGCCTAAATTGTCGATAATTCCTTAGAATATTACCCAATACATATGCACTCTAATTCACAATTTTGTGAAGAAAGTTTTAATTCTACACGATAAATATGTTGAACTTTTGAAAAGTTAAATGTTTACAAAGTTCTAAACAGCTGAAGAAATGTAATGTCTTGTAATTTGAGACTTGCAGAACTTCCTCACAGTACTACAAGCAGGAAATTACAAACTTTATGTTGGAAGACTGTATCGGGGTAACAACTAGACTCTTGTATGCCCCCCTTCTTTTCTTCCAGAAGCTAAAGCACAATGTCACAGTCAAACATAAAAAACAACACGTGCATCGAATAAGCAAGTAAACAAAGTAAACATTAATGTAGAAAACAGCCAGAAAACATTCTGTCTTGCATTCTCTTTTATCACTTCGCTGCTGTCATTTTTTTACTAAAAATTAAACTGAGCCTGACCTAGTTTGATGTCTCTATAATCTTTGGCATACGGAACATAAGATACTCTAAAATGATACCTTTTTTTCTAAAAAGTACTTAAATGTTTTAGAATCATTTTATATTCTATCATTTTAAAACATTTTCATTAAAAAACACAAACTTCAACATGGCACCTAGGCCCTAGTTAGTAAGCACCCATGCACTGATGTTTCTATTAAGAATCTAGGCCAGAGTTGTCCAGTCACACACTCCCACCTACAATGGGCCAAGGGCAACTGCACTGGCTCTTCCAAAACTGGGTAACACAAAATTGTAATGGTACAACAGACTATAATCATGATTAATTGCAGCAAGTAGCAGGGCAATGTCTCCTTATCTGAACTTATTACAAAGGACTGGAAGAATATGATTCTAATCCCTTGGCAATTTGATAGAATTAAATGATGCATCAATGCAACAAAATCTGCTGATGCATATCAGCAGCTGGATATCTAGTTTAAATAACCACAAACAAAGTCAGCCTAAAACTCGAATGAATTCCCTCTCCATTTACCACATAAACATGGTTAACAATAACCCCGTCCCACCAGCTAAAATACAGAAAGTATGTTTCATTTTCTATAATATACATGTTTGACCTCATACACCAGTGTTGTGTTACCCATATGCAAAGATTTCAATTGCTTTTTCATAAAATCTAAAATGGCTTGTGCATGACTTTCTAATTCAGCAAATCATAGGAATAAGAATCTGTCACTAGTCAGTTGTAAGCAACAAAACCCACCTGAAAAGGGTATGAATATCAGCTGTTGTAAGGAAACCCCTTCCATGAAGATCAAGACATCGAAATAAGTAGGTCAATCCTTCAGGGGTGTCTTTGTTCTCCAGAGCCAACACAAAGTCGAGAAAGCTTTCAAAATCCATCTCCCGACTATTTCCTCCTCCAGTTTTACTACGCCGTACGTGCTCATCAAATGCTGTAACCAGAATCGGAGCAAAGAAACAAGCTAACATTAAAAACACACAACATAGTTTAACAAATGTAAATGGCATCATCAAAGTATTTATACACACTCTTGTTTATGCAAAGAAATGTGCATAAATTCACGCATGAAAGTGACCTAATGCATATATAGCTCGGGGAATTCTTAGCATGCCCAAATTATTCTCCAACTTGCAGGAAACTTAGGAGCTCTGAAGCACGGATTCGCCCCCGGAGGCCACGAATCCGTGTCCAACTCGAATCGGACACGGATTCGTCACGACACGTGCACAACACGTGTCGGACACGGTCAAAACCGTGTCCGACACGAGTCAACGGTCAAATTAAGCTCGGACACAGTCAAAGGAGCTCGGACACGACTCGGATTCGCCGAAGGCCGATTCATTTGGATTGTGAGTTGCGGGTTTGGTTGTTAAAATCCAACCTGAACCGTTCGATTAAAAAACCCATCCTTATTTCTCAAATCTCCCGTTCGATTCGATCATCAACTGACTCAAACGAAAGAAAAAAAGAAAAAACTCTAACCCTAACCCTAATCCTCTCTCTCAATCTCTCAGCTCACTCCCGTTCGATTCGATCACCTCCGCTATTCTGACCCGATCCCGCTGACCGTTCCGCTGTTCCGACCTGATCCCGCCGACTGCTCCGCTGTTCCGACCCGTTCTCGCCGACCGACTCCTCCTTCCTCCGACTCATCAAGTCCACCCTCCATTCCTCCTCCACGTCCAGCACAATCACCACTACTGTCATCATCATCTTCTCCGGTTTTTGAGTTCGAGCAGCAGCCCAACGTCATCGTCATATTATTATCATAAATCTAATGGAGAAAGTTACAAATAATATATTTTAGATTGTTATTTTGTGATAGATTCATATTTTAGATTGTTAGTTGAATTTTATAAAATTTTCTATATATAATAATAATTTTAAAAAAAATCCTTGTCGCATCCCCGTATCCTATTTTTTGGATTTTGTCGTATCCCGTATTCGTGTCCGTGTCGTATCTTTGTCTGTTAAATGTCAAATATCAATATCTTAGATTTAACTAGAAAAGAAACGAATTACATTACGATTACTAAGGTATCGGAAAGACTAATGTAATCTAGCGCAATATCAATGTTAAATGTATGAGAATGGGTAATATAACTTCATTACAAGTGTCAACAGCTAGAACATCATAATTTTTGAAAAATGCAGCCCCAACCAATGACATGATTGAGCAAACATGAACATGATAATGGATGGGTAACAATAGTCGGTAAGCTAGGAGAACTTTATCAGATACTAACCCCTCTCGATGAATATTTCTGTCAGCGTCCCATCTGCATATTCCTTCAGCTCTTGCTTGCTTAAGGTCCCATTCATATCCTTATCCAATGCAAGAAACATATCTGTAAAATAAGAGCAATGAGCATGCAGGCCACTCGTAAAACCATCGGGTGAATTCACATGTTGAGTACAAAAAAGTATGATAAGCTAATATACATAAGGTAATACGAACTTATTCCCAATGCAAAACAATAAAAATTGAAATGCACAATCTTTATAAAAATATGAGATAGCTAATATATTGAGTCTACAGGTCAACATATATGTTGCTCTGTATGTAATTCAGATCCATGTCAAAAATCTAATATTATTCTATCAATCAAGCGGGAATGCCATACGAGCATGCAATGTAAATGCTTTTTTACCAGGTAAACTTATTCGCACTCATTTGTGAAACAGGATAATCTGAAATTTCTCCCATCAACTACAGCATATAGCAACATATAAAAGACAAGCTAGCAAAACGTACGCATTACACAAGATGTGCTTTGAACACGTACAAGGAAAATATTTACATAAAAGAAAGTTCAAATATCTAAGTATCAGTTCCTCCTCAAAAAAAAAGTCAGACACACAGCTTAGAGAATAGATATTTACCAAAAGGTACAATATATTATTAAAGACATGCACAAAATACACGTGATCACATGAAATACACCTGATCGCATGAAGAATATTTAGCATGTTCATGGAAGATCAACAGCAAGTATCAAACAAAAATCTGAAAGCATGGGCATGTACCGCATATTCGCTGGGCAGAAGTCAAAGAAAACCAATTTTCCGCCTGCTCTGTATCTGTAACTTCTTCCTCACTTTCCTGACAGCAAATATCTAAACGAATTAGTACAGGACCATAACTTCTCAGAGATTCTATGACAAAAACTTCCAAGTATTTCCCTCTAAATACAATCAATGTATGTGTCTGCATGTTAAGTATCATAGATGCAGATTTATTCGAAGGAAAGGTACATGTCTATACAACACTGATTGTATGAGGTTGTAATTGTTTAATCCAATTATAACTCAAACTAATACAGTTGCACACTGCCAAATAAAACTTCAAGGATGAGGAAAATACTTACACCAACTTATATCACTAGCATCTTGCAAGAACTTAAAAAGTACAGAAAATAAAAATCCGGGAAGCCATTAAAATATTGAAGAAATAGTACCTGATGCAGTTCCATAAGCTCCTGGAGGCAGTTGCTCAGCAGAACCTTTTTTATGCATGCTTTCCCTATGTGTGATTGACGACAACTTGTCTTTAGTGAAAGATTACATGAGTAAATTTCTTGAAGAGAAAAATGATGAAATCTCTAAACTAAAACTTTCAACCGGGGTTTAGATGAGATTTTACCTCTCCTGTGAGGATCACAGAAGAAAAAGAACTTATGTGCAGCTATCCGACAGTACATATTAATAAAGGCTGCAGGCATATCACGGAGTTGCGCAAGATTCGGAATGAGGCCTCTAATATAGGCTTCCATTTCCTGCAAAAGGAGGGATTCATAAATAGCAAAGTCATACCTGAATATACTCAAACATAAAATAAGATGTAAATATCTCAGACATCAAATTAATTGTGAGCATCTATAACGCAGGCAAAAGGGTTCATACATGAGGCTGAAGGAAGCCATCAGAATCCTCATCAAGTTCACTCATATCGATTCTAGCTTGTGTAAGTGATACCTGGAACAGGACCAACGTCAATGCTCAATTACTCACATTAAGATACCAGTTTCAAATATTTTCAAATGTAAAAGCATATGACAATACAGAAAAATGAAGTACAACGAATTCATTAAATCAACATGTCAAATTAAAACCACCCAGCAAGAGTAGTCAGGGCTGATCCGCAGAGGATCACAAGGAATTGCCAAAATTGACATCATAAGAAATCACTTTTCTGGAGAATGTAAGAAACAAAAGACAATCTGTAAATCAATCCTAACATAAAACCAAGAACCAACTTTTCAGCATGGATTTCAACAGGGACATCTAGGACCCCGTCAAAAAAGTTGAGGTGCCCAAGACACATGGGGACAACCGCATCTGACACTTATAATCTTGTATTATCATTTACCTTAAAATTATGTAACGAAGTGTTTGTTCCGCGCTTTTCGACAAAAGCTAATTAGTTTCCACTAAGATTAAATTATTTCATATATGAATAACTTGACTAGATATATCTATTTGAGTGAAGAATACACATATTCAGGCAAAATGTACATAATAGTTGTGTTCTCGTTTTGGACAATTGTCACATCTGAAATACCATGTATGTCGGAGCACGGCACTCATGACTGTGTCTTGTGTCTACTAATCATAGGTTTCATAAACATCTCCACCAACTGGATCATTAACATCTATGATTTCTTTCCCTGTTCCTGTAGTAAGTTGCACTCTTTTGCTGTAAAAATGCAGAAATACATTTTCTTACTGGAACTTCTAATGTTTTAATATCTAGTAGTAGCTGGAATTAGGAGAAGGGTTCATGAATGGATATTATCAGACTAATTGGACCTCATAATCTTCAGAGTATATTAGTTGCCATCATGAATTTTAAATTTCTAACAATATATTACAAAACAAAAGTTTAAAACATTTCGGAAGTCTATTATTTTATCCAAAGAATGCAGTGCATTCAATATTCTTGTGAAAATTTGGATAAAATCAAAATCATATAAGTAATACTTCAATATTAGAGTGACCAACTACCAAAGCATTGCAAAAACATAAAAATACCAAAAATATCATACTATCATCAGTATTAATTGGATTCACAAAGCCCACAAAAATTGATGAGCAACATTTTATATGATTATGTTTACGTTTAATCTCAGGTTAGTAATTTGATCCTAGGTGACTTATTTAGTGATAACATTTAGAAATTTTAGGTGTCATGATCACTAACTGTAAAAGCTAATTTTTGCACTGTAATAAAAAAGCCTTTTGCCCTATAATAAAAAGCCAACCAAAATAGAGCCTAAAGGAGACAAATCCCATTTATTTCGTAGTGCTAGGAACCTTTACATACTTATATTATTTAGAGAACAAGCATGTGGAAAAATAGGACAGCTTGTATATTAGTTGCCATCATGATTCACGAATTTTAAATTTCTAAACAATATATTGCAAAACAAAAGTCTAAAACATTTTGGAAGTTCATTATTTTATCCAAAGAATGCATCCAATATTCTTCTGAAAATTTGGGTAAAACAAAATCTTATAACTTCATCAATATTAAAGTGTCCAACTATAAAAGCATTGCAGAAACGTAAAAATACAAAAAATATGATGCTATCATCAGCATTAATTGGACTCACAAAGCCCACATAAATTGATGAGCAACATTTTATATGATTATGTTTACATTTGATTTCATGTTAGTAACTTGATCCTAGGTATTTCACTTCTTTCCAGTAGCGATAGCATATAGCAATTTTAGGTGTCATGCTCACTAACTGTAAAGGCTACCTTTTGTACTATAATAAACAGCCTTTTAAACTCATAGTTTAAAGTTATTTTACTTTTATTCAATAAAAGGTAAAAGGAATAAGAAAAAGAAGAGGGAACTCACCGTTCTCATCACATAGAGATAGAACGGTAAAATAGCTATTCTTCCTGATTCATCTTTCTCAAACTTCATAAAATTTGAAGGACTGAAAAAACGTCGACATTTTGGACCAATTTGCTCTGTGCAGACAGATGCAATGTGACAAAAATCTTCGTAGTTCATCTGTAACAATAGAAGACAGGATGCAATATAAATAATCTTAAAGATATAATTCTAATTTCGAAGCTACAGAAGAACAAAAATTAGCAGAAGAAGCACATCAATAGACTTTGTAGTTTTAGAAATCCAATGAACTAGGCTTCCGCTCAGGATGATAAGCTAGATTTACGTTGGGTTTTGGGTTTGGCTTTGAGCAAACATTATCAAGGTTACTGTCATTGCAAAAGTTCATCCAGGTTATCACTAGTCATCATCATCATCATTGTCTCACAGGGCGAAATTAAGACAGCTATTAAAACTCAATAGTAGAGTGATAAATCGCAATATGAAGCAAATTTTACGACCAAACTTCAAATAGAATCAAACTTATATGAGTTTATATCTTACTATAAGAAAGGAAACTTGGAGAGATAACAACATTAACAAATGTCAGTTGTGCCAGAAAATTTCCTGGTTACACAATGTCTAAGGCTACACACATAGCTGCCTCCTCCAGCTAATAGACTCGTCAACTTTGAGAGAAATATATTATATGTACCAGTTGCACTGATGAAAGTAATAGGTCACAACTAGCAACAACTTTCACGTGCTTGGATTTGACTGTGAAAAAAGGGTTGTAAGAAGAGAAGCCTTCGGTCAATTTAATCTAATAATCCTGCTCAATCCTTATATATGATAAATGGGGACTGCCAAGGTTAAAAGGGAGAATAAAACATGATGACTTCATATTTGCCAGTTTGTGGACCTCTCCCCACGAATAATAACATGGATCACATGCCAAATGTCGATTAAATTTAAAACAGATGCATATGTACCTTCTCAGCACCAGTTGCGTCATCAATGACACAATTCTCCCTCAAGCAAACCCACATGGAATCTAGATCATCAGCATTCAATAGAAGTTCTGATTGCTTCTGCAATGATACAATAAAAGATCAATTAAACAGCTCAAATGTGAGACAAAGATAGCAACCAGTAACCAAGTAATCAAAAGAATCAAAATGAAAAATACAGGAAATCAAAGTCGGTGCCACATTCTATCAAACATATCAAGAATTTTGTGTTAACAAAAATATAGATGTCGGAATACTAACAAAGTATAAAAATGAATAGTTCTCCAAGAACAAGATAGACTTGACATATCTCTAACTTAATACCTTGAGGAACCTGTACTTTGCCAACCTTTGCACCCTGTGACTGATTGACCCCTCTTCAGGCTTCTGTTTAGGAAAATACAAAACAGACGAAAATGATATAAACATTCTACGCTTCCAGACAAGGGAAAAAATGCATCAAACAAAGAGTTAGAAAAATAAGCTAAATTCAAATATGTTAAATTATGTTGCAGGTCTTTCTTGTAAAACAAAAAACTCTCTGACTATCTAGACATGATGTCATGCTTGCCATCCATGATATTACATATAACATAGATATGTGAACATTAGAAAGTTTGTTGAAGAAACATAGACAGAGCAAACCACCCAAGAAATCAACTCTGCTGCATGCCTTTTTGTAGAAGGTTGGGATTGAGCCCCCTTCAGCATTCTTTTGTTGTCGCTCTTTGAAAATATCAAGCAAAATCCTTTTTGTTTCAAGCTCTGAAATAGAAAATGTATTGTTTCAGACCAAATCAATGGGAATATAATCAATTTATTGCAAATAATTACCGGAAAGAAGATTATGTAATATAAGATGCAACAGATACTAACTTTCCAAAAAAAAGAAGATACATAAACAACAACAAAAAAAGAGCACTTGTAGCTATTTGTAATCTCAACCAGACTACCTATGGTTAAATTCTTTATAATTAGGTATAAAAGTACAAACAATCGAAACCAAGAAGGACCAGCATGACAAATCTTGCAAACACTTCATCGCAGCTTTTCTTAGTTAGTACAGTTACAGTGATTATACTGATGAAATTTGGGCATGGAAGCCACAGGAAATGAGGATCTACCACAAGACATGTAGACGACAAAACTAGACATGAACATAAAAATTTCCACATAAGTCCCCTCTTACCTCCTGCATAAAGATAAAGCATAATGCCTTGTCTTAAGACTGGTTATTGGGATGGACTTTCTGTTTTGTTGAAGACAACATGCTAACTGCTCAGGATTAATTTTGTTTTCCTTTTTATTTTGAAATCAGCAAGTGTTTCTATTTTGTCATACTTCTCGCATATGTTTTTATGTGCAGTCATGTATATATATCCTCCTTTCATGATGTCAAGTCTGTGTTGCATACTATCCATGTAAGTCACTGCAAGTGCTGCCAAACTATGCCTAGAGCCGAGGTAGAGGTAGTTAAGCTCAAACGTGACAAAGTGCTGCATCATCAACCCGAATAAGCTCTTATAATTCCTTTCTCATGCTTCCATCTATAAGCTCTTCACCCAGTACTCTCTTATCTCCTGTGTATATTTATGAAGTTACAAACAAAGTTCTCCTGCCTTCTTGTTACTTGGAGCACTAGACATTGTGTATTCTGCTAAATTCAGTAAGATTACGGAAGTTGTCAGACCATGATTTTTAAAAAATTTGAACGGTATTCCAAATACTTAGTTTATCCACGTTTTCTAAAGGCCCAATTGGTGTCATCAGTTTTGTAAATATCTGTATACAGTGTTCATATTCCTTCATAATATTCGAGTATATGAGGCCTGCAAAGTATCTTGGTGCCTCAAATGGCCAAGTGAATGTCTATACTTGTATTGATTCTTCATGGCCCTTTTTTGGGTGAATTGCATATTAACCCTCTCATCTAAATCTTGATCTCATTTATACCTTCAGTAGCCCTTATTACCCCTCAGTTCATTTATCAGAAACTATCACCCCTGGATTGAGATATTGAGAAAGAAAGCACATGGTGATAAGTGCTAATAAAATTATAAAGGGCTTTTCTCATGTTGGACCCTAACGTCGACATTACTTTATATCTGACCCGCATATCTTCATATTTCTAAGATTCACCAACATGTTCATATTCTCCTGAATGTGGTAGTTATTTAAAACAGCTAAACAGATTTTGAGTGAAAATTACAAGTAAGGGGGTGGCATTTAGAACAACTTAACGGAACACCATGAAATTTGGGGGCTTAGCATAAAAAAATGTTACCCCATACAGTGAGAAACCCATTAGGGATTGGGATCTGAGGTCTATGAAGTAAATGGTTCAGGTCAATCATCAATGTCTTCGTCTTTTTCATTTGGCTTTGAAAGCTTGGATTTTGGTCGATCAAATATTAGCGTGCAGCGAACGAAAGTATGGCATCAGGCGCGAAACGAATCAGAAGTGCAAATTTCCAAAAAAATAGAGGAGGAAAGTGGGTACTGACCCATTAGGGTTTCGGATCCAAGGCCATTGCCGGATCCGATGAACCTGCGGAGGTTCCGAACCCAAGGCATCGACGACGCCGACGGGATCTTCTTCTGGGCGCCATCCTAGGACCCCGCCGCCGGACATCGTCCTCGCTTACGCTGCGCCCTCGGCGACGTTAGATCTGAGATCGAAGGATTATCGCATTAGAGAGAGAGAAGCTAGGGTTTTGGGGGCGAGTTGGTGAGAGGAGAGAGATCGGATGAAGGCAAAATGGGGTAACCTTTGAACGTGAATATTTTCGAATATTTCTCAATAATGCTTACATGCTAACCCAAAAAAAAAATTCAAAGAAAAGGAAACTTATTTCTAAGAAAAATAGTTTTTGGCATTGTTTGATTGGCTTAAAAAAAGAAAGAAATCAAAAAACGAAAAATGAAATGATGTTAATTGTCATCTTATTATTATTCAATGATGTGAATTGTTTTTTAATAAAGGTTGTTGGTTGGCGAAAAAATAAGGAAATAGATTATAAGAAACATATTTCCTGTAATAGGTTCTTTTCTTTTGTTTGATTCATTCTTAAAAATAATAAAATAAATGAGATGAGATGAGACACTTTTAGGGGCTGTTTGGTTCGTTTCTTTGATATAGAGAAATACAATTCCATGTAAAGAAACACAAGTTTTGAGTTTTCTAAACTTTTCAAGAAATAGATTGTTTTGCTTTGGTTCGCACATAAAAAATGGTGGGAAACCAATGTATTTATTTTTCTTGTGTTTGGTTCGTATAGAAAAAAAAAAGGAAAACTTTTGTAAACAAAGCAGAGAAGGAAAAAAATCTGACGTGGCAGAGTTTTCATCAATTTTACTTGGTTGGGGAATGAAATCGGAGAGGGAAAAAAAATCTTAGTTGGCGGCGATTTCAGCAGAGTTTTCCCTCTTCCATCCGAGCGAACCAAAGCGGCACAAAGAAATGGACGGAAACAAAAAAAAACTGACGTGGAGGGCTAAAAATCTGACATTGAGGGGTTTTCTGAGTTTTCCACCCCTTATAATAGCGAACCAAACAGCCCCTTAAGAAAATCGTTTTCCTAGGTTTTTTGGAGGAAATTTGTAAAAATAAAATGTTAATGAGATGAGATGAGTTGTCACCATCTTATTGGATGATGTGAGTGATTTGAAATGATGAGATGGGATGAGTTGAGTGATGTTGTGGATGAGTTGTTAAATGAAAATAATATTTTATTGGATGTTGTGGGTGAGCTTTAGAGATGGAAATGGATGAAATTGCACTTTTTGAGATTTCTACCTTTTCATTTCATTTTCTTGGTTTTTATATTATTGGATGATGTGACTCACACTTAAGAAAATTATTTTTCTAGTTTTTTGGAGAAAACATGTGGAAATGAAATGTTAATGAGATGAGATGAGTTGAGGGATGTTGTGGATGAATTGTTAAATGAAAATAATATTTTATTGGATGAGTTGTTGAAATAATATTCTATTAGATGTTTTGTGGATGAGTTGTTGGATAAAAATAATATTTTATTGGATATTGTGGGCGAGTTTTAAGGTAGGAAATGGATGAAATTGCACTTTTTGAGATTTTCACATTTTCATTTCCTTTTCTTGGTTTTTAGGAAACCAACCAAACAGCACCTAAGTCTACCGAAATTCTTTTCTTTTTTTTTTTGATAGAAAAACAAGGGTTAGACCCTGTTCATTAAAAAACCAAAAAGCAAATACAAAGTTGTTTTAAGTACAAAAAAAGGATACGAAATGTATCCAGAAGTTAGTAGATAGAAAATATAATTCCTTGTAATTAGTGACGTATAACCTTCTTCTTCTAAAGATCTATGAAGGTGAGGAGTGGGCCTTGCCGTCATTCACCGTTGACATAGATATAAAGAAGAACCAAAGCCAGCTATACGTATAATTAGAAGAAACTAAATTTTCTATAAACTAACAGACAAAAATATAAACAAGGTGAAGGAGTTAAGATACAAAATTACAAAAAACATCTCCAAAAAGTGAATTTCCAAGCAGATCTTCACATCAAGTACTTCTCCTGCTAATTGGATGCTCCTCAAGCCATGTAGAGAGATGATTAGCAACTGAACCACTTCCAGCTCCTATCCAATCATATACACCAGAGATTGAGATGTTAATAATTGATTTAAATGAAAAATTAGTATGCTCAAAAATGAATTTGTTTCTGGCAAGCCAAATATGCCAGCATACTGATGGTAGAATTGTACGCCATAGATGTCCTTTCTTGCCATTAAGATGTTCAACGGATTTTAGGAGATCTGTAAAGCATAGAGGCCATTGAAAAGGGAGGTAATATTCTTTGAAGTGTCTCCAAACATGTAATGATAAAGAGCATGAATAAAAAAGATGATCCCTTGATTCTTCTGTCAACCCACAGAATGAACATATATTGTCTCCTTGCCATCCTTTTAAAAGAAGATTGTCCTTAGTGTGCAATTTGTTTAGTGTTAACAACCACATAAAAAACCTAACTTTGCTTGGGATGATATAGTTCCAGGTAACCTTGTAGTAAGGAGTGAGAATACCTCTAGAAATTTGAAAATTGTAATAAGATTTAACTGAAAAAACTCCACTTGTTGTTAGTGTCCATCTGGGTTGATCCTGTTGAGTGGAGACATGATGAAGCTGCAGTGAGTTCATGAAATGTATTCTGTCATTTTGAGATGAAGGAGTTATACTTCTTTTCATCAAAGGATGCCAATGCCATATATTGTCCTGAAAGAATCCTTGGCTATTGATAGATACATTAGTGGAGAAAGATAACTTGTATAAAGATGGATAAAGGCTAGCTAGAGAGTTAGCTCCAAGCCATTTATCTTCCCAGAACCTTATATTATCACCAGTGCCTAGTTTCCATTCAATGTTGTGAAGAAAAACCTCATTATGAGAAATGATAGCATTCCAGAAAGAAGAATTCAGTGCATTGATACTACTAGTTTGAATGTTGTAATTTCTGGTAGCATATAGTTGATGAAGGAAAGCACCAATTGTGGAATTTCTGTCCAGACACTTCCATAGCCATTTTGCTAGAAGAGATGAATTGAAAACTTTAAGATCTTTGACTCCTAATCCCCCCTCTGTTTTAGTGAGACATACTCTCTTCCAACTAACCAAACATTTGAAGGCATTATTATCTATATTTCCTGTCCAAAGGAAATTTCTCCTGATTTTATCAATTTCCTTGATGAGTCACATAGGTAATTTGTAGAAGGACATGAAATATAATGGAATGGAAGATAAGACAGAATTTAATAGAATAAGCCTCCCACCAAAGGATAATGAATGTTTCTTCCATGTAGATAATTTCCTATGAAGGTTATCAAGAATGGGTTGCCAATCAGATTTAGAAAGTTTCCCATATTTGAGAGGCAAACCTAGATATTTGATGGGAAGATGATCCACTTTACAGTTAAGTGATGAAGCAAGTGAATGCTCTTTCAAATGAGTTTTGCCAAAATACACAAGTGAGGATTTGGAATAATTAATACCCAGGCCTGACATTCATTATAATTGGGATATGTTTAAAGATGATATTAATAAATGTTAACGGTTAAAAGTATAAACAGTGGATGAGTATAGGGAAAAATCTCATATATCTTTTTGTTCATTGTACATGGCTTTATATAGAATAGAACGTGTGAGCTCGAAATTGAGGTTGTTTCTAAGTGATAGAAACAATTACGAGGGGATACAATCAAAACAAATTAATAGATAGAAAAACAAAAAAAAAAGATTTCTTCGTACATAGTAGCTAATGTTCTGTTATAATCTCAACGCGCCCCCACAAGCGCGACGGTGAAGTGCACAAACAAGCTTGCTTGTTAATGAATGAAACTGATGGCGTCCTAGTGGCTTCATGAAGATGTCAACCAATCGAAGATGACTCGGTAAATAGGATCTTCTTAGGAACCCATCTTGAGTTTTATCTAGAATGATATGACAGTCGATCTCAATATGCTTTGTACGTTCGCAAAAATACCGGATTGGAAGTTATACATAAGACAACTTGATTGTCACAATACAAGATGACAGTACTGAATGTAACACGAAGATCGCAAAGCAAATAACTAAGCTAAAGAAGTTCACATGTAGCTGAGGTCATTGATTTAAATTCAACTTCAGCAAAGGAGCGGGATGCAGCGTGTTGTTTCTTGGATTTCCATGAGATGGGATTTGAACCAAGAAAGGTGAAATAACCTGTGGCTGACCGTTGTGAAGTAGGGCAATATGCCCGATCGGAGTCACACTATGCATGAAGGGAGAGAGAATTGCAAGCAGAAAGAAGTATGCCACTTCCTGGAGATGATTTGATGTGATGAAGAACTCGAAGGGTAGCTTGCTAATGAGGAGGTATAACATAAACAATATCGGACCCAGTGATTGCCATATATAGTAGGCAACAATTAACCGACGATATTAAGAAGGATACGAGAGGAGAGATCTGTCACCAAGATTAAGTTGAAGATTTTGTTCTCTAGGAAAAACACGGGTACTCCCCCCCTATACCAATGTCAAATAGTATGTTTAAGGCATATTTTCATTGAGAGTGATAAATCCCGTCCTTGGCCAATCCAAGAAAATATTTGAGAGTACCAAGATCCTTGATGTGAAATTTGGAGTGCAAAAAGAGCTTGAGAAGAGAAATTGAGACTTGATCATCATCAGTAGTTATAATGTCATCAACATGAATAAGGACTATAGTCGACAAGGTACATCGTTGAGAAGTGAACGAACTTTGAGTAAATAAAACCAATCTCGAGAAGAGTATAAGAGAACTTGGAGATAGTTTCAAGCGGCTTGTTTGAGACAATAGAGGAACTTGTTTAAATGATATACTCTTTTTCTCCACCTGCTTGGCGAAACCAGGTGAGATTTTCATGCAGACTTCCTCTTCGAGCTCGCCATGCAAAAGAGCATTATTGACATCTAATTGATATAATGGCCAAGAACAAAATATAGCAACAGCAATGATGGATCGCACAATGACATTATCCATGTATTATTGAGTTCTAATGCTTTGATCTCGGAGGCCATGGCCTCTTTCCATTTTGGATTCTTGTTGGCTACTGTAAAA